AGAGAAGATGGGAAGTTGCAATCCATCACCCGGGCACTGACCTATGCTGGACCCATTAATTTACCACCAGAAGGTGCATTAGATTCCTTAATAGAGAAGGTACACAAGCAACCTACCCCAACATAAGAAGGAATGCCCAAATTTGAGAAGCCATTAGTAACTGCTCCCATTTTAAACTGTTTTAAGCAAACTCAACCTTACCTCCTTCTTTAGAGCAAATGCTCACTAAGCTGTGAACAGTGTCCATTAGCTCCAGCTGCTGTTTCTGTAGGATGCTGTTATTGGTGGTAGCTCTGCTCAGCTGCCTCTCTAGTTCTTGGATGATGTAGCTTTGCCGTGAAACCAAACCTTGCAGATTCTCTTTTTCCTCCTTCAAAGTATCCAGCTCCCCTTTATGTCTCTCCTCCATGTCAAGGATTTTGTGTTCCAGCAAACTGAAAAAGCAAACATATCAATGCCATATGTTTGTTAATGTGATTATACAGAGACAGCTAGTCAGGGTATTGAGAACCCAGAATAAGAATTTGGTTTATTTATGTGCCAGGAACCCGATGGGTTTTGAATCCTTAGAGAGCACCTCATATGCCCATACAAGATGACCTCAACATACAGATAGTAACCAAAAAACACAGTAAACAGGTATATGTTTGTGGTTTTGGACCATCGCTCCCAGAATTCTCCAGATAACATGGCCAGTAGCCATGTTATTGGGAATTCTGAGAGTTGTAGTCTAGAAACACAAATATGCACATCTCTAGAAACCAAACTGATGGGACATGGTAGCGCTGTGGGCTAAACCGCAGAAGCCTGTGCTGCAGGGTCAGAAGACCAAGCAGTCGTAAGATCGAATCCACGTGACGGAGTGAGCACCCGTTGCTTGTCCCAGCTCCCGCCAACCTAGCGGTTCAAAAGCATGCAAATGCAAGTAAATCAATAGGGACCACCTCGGTGGAAAGGTAACAGCGTTCCGTGTCTAAGTCACACTGGCCATGTGACCACGGAAGATTCTCTTCGGACAAAAATGCTGGCTCTATGGCTTGGAAACAGGGATGAGCACCGCCCCCTAGAGTCGAGCACAACTGGACAAAAATTGTCAAGGGGAACCTTTACCTTTACCTAGAAACCACACATGGGAGAGATTTGGTTTTTTGAACCAAAATCTCATATCCAGCATGTCTATAGGGTACAGAGATCCAAATATTTCCCATCTCTGGAACAAAGTGGTTCCTAGCCTTGAGTCCTCAGACGTTATCAGACTGCATAGACTAAAGTGGAAACAAGCTGGCTGGATCGGTCAGTGATTAAGACATCTGGCTGCAGAGGTTGGGATTTCAATTACCCATTGTGCCTCCTAGAAGAGACAGCCTGTGTGGCCTTGGACAAGCTGCACAGTGTCAGGGCACCCCGAGAAGAAGAGAGTGGTAAACCACTTCTTAGTTTACTCTGCCTGAAAATGGTCACCATAAGTCAGAATTGACTTGACTAAACATTATTATTTTTAAGATGGAAACAGGCTGGAACAGACTTGAGATATGCACTGTATTTAACTATACACTGAAACACCAACTAAATATGAACTACAGTATTTGTCTTTTCTGGGATGAGCAAGGGGTGGAGCAAGAGCCAGGGGCAGTCACTGGGTAGAGCAGCACAGATCTTTCATGTCAATTGCAGCATTTTGGAAGGTTAAATGTCAAAGAGAGATGTGTTATTAAAGGCAATGAGAAATGGATTGAAACTAGAGATTGGGATGACTCACCATTTTGGCAAGTCGTCCCGCTTTATGAGTCGTCAAAAGTTGATAACTCATGAAGCATGAAGTTGCCCCATGAACTGATGAATAATGAATTTATTCATTGATTCGTGGGGGGTTACTAAAAAAATACCCCTGCTGCTACACCACCACCACCACTGCCAC